ATTACACTCTACCCACCTAAAATTGTCACCTTAATTTCATTTGGATACAATGTACTTTTTCCTCTCTATATGCACTGTTGCTGTGAGGTGTTAAGACAGCTGCTTTGTGATAGTTGCATTTCAGTGGTGGGTTAAGAACTACTTATAAAAGCGGCAAAGAGTCCTGTGGCACCTTATAGACTAACAGACGTATTGGAGCATAAGCTTTCGTGGGTGAATACCCACTTCGTCAGATGCATGTTTATAAGTTTGTAAATCTTTTGAAACCTTCTGGATGGAAGGCACTGAATAAATACAGGTTTCAGAGTAGCAGCTGTGTTAGTCTGTACTCGCAAAAAGAAAAGGAGTACTTGTGGCACCTTAGAGACTAACCAATTTATTTGAGCATAAGCTTTCGTGAGCTACAGCTCACTTCATCGGATGCATAAAGTGGAAAATACAGTGAGGAGATTGATATACACACAGACCATGAAAAAATGGGTGTGTGTATATAAATCTCCTCACTGTATTTTCAACTTTATGCATCCGATGAAGTGAGCTGTAGCTCACGAAAGCTTATGCTCAAATAAATTGAATAAATACAGTGCCATTTACTTAAATGGCTCCCTGCTGCTCCCTTCATTCCAAATACATGGCGAGTCTTTTTTGCCTTTGTGGCTTGATGTAGAAATGTTAATATTTCAATCCATTTGCATATAATAAACTGTGCTAGAACTGAGTTAACATGGCATTCATTTTTATTTAGCATCAGAGACCTCCTTTGCTCAACCTGTAAGTTAGCACCACTAAGACTTGTCTTTTATCCTCTGATTCTCTCCCATCGCTTCCCTTCCCACACCAAATATTTAAAGACAGCCTCTATATTAGGTCCCTATGTTTTGTAATCACATACACACACTCCAGTATATATTTGCAAACAGTGACCTTGGTCCTACAAGCTTCTCCATGAGGGCTGACTCCTGCCCGTGCATGGAGCTCTAGTGATGACAACAGGGGATTGGAGCCAGAATTTATAATTGTGGTTGATCAACTAGATACCTAGGTGACTTGTGTATCAATCTGTGCCAGTCCATGGAGGTAAGTCAAAATTTGTGATTGCCCAAAAGATTTTGGGACCCAAAAATTAGCGATTGCTTTGGAAAATTTGTCCCAATGCTCATGTATTTCTCTTGATCCACATGCAAGTCAAGGGCAAAACAATCTTTAAATCAGCTAATATACTAGAGGCAAGAACTCTTGCATCATTTCAATTCTCAATGTACAATGTTCAAGGAAGTATTTCCTACGGCACACTGGGAATCAGAGGGGGGAAATGAAACCAGACAAAAATATTCATTATACAGAAACAGTGTTGTTTCATTCTCCTTCACATGTTGCAGAAATTGAATGAGTCAGAGGTTTACTAGAAGAGAAAGGACGGTTTCCTGGTTAAGGCATCTGAAGGCTGCCCTGGAGAACTAAATTCTATCCCAGCCTCTGCCACAGAACTTCTGTGTGATGCTGGGCAAGTTGCTTAAACTAACATTCTCACAGGTGGTCACGAAATGCATGTCCCTCATTTTCTGCATGAGCAACATGAGACATGGGGTCCCAAATCTGCAGAAGCGCTGAACACTCACAACTGCAAGTAAACGTGACTGGAGCTTTTTTGAACATTATCAATTGCAATAAAAATGCCAAATACTCTGAAAATAATCCAGCCCTATGGATCTCAAAATGGATACCCAAAATTAGTGAGCATTTTTGACAATTTTGGCCTTAACCTGTCTGTGCTTCAGTTCCCCACCTATAAAATAGGGGGAATAACACCAGCAAATCTCACAGGGCTGTTGTGAAGATAAAGTCACGAGTGTTTGTAAAGCATCTGATTCTACGGTGAGAGCACCACAGAAACACCCAGCAGGAAATTAATAATGTAGTGTTCATTGCAGAATTTGGACAGAAGGCAGAAAATAAGGCTTGAGGCCCAGCTACCCAGTCCCTGAATGAAGCCTGGGGGAAAATAGTATGTGACCATGTAACTAAAGACTGTCTCATAAGGCACTGGGACAAGGGGGCTGGATTGCACAGGCAATCTTAATGTTGCCCTTTTCTAACTTTACCAAAGGGGTGTCCTGTTGGTTTTTGATCGTTCTTCCCCCCCCCAACAGCATAGGACCCGCGAGCAGGATCCGTCTGCTCAGAAAGGACCTAAATGCCCCAAACGTGCCATCCCAGTGATGCTGGAGGGGGGAGGCGAGGTGGGAGCGGGGGCCACAGGCGTTTCAGCGGCTGGGGCAGTCAGGTCAGGAAGGGTGGAGACGGCCGCTCGTCTCCCGAGTCACGCAAGCCAGGGCGTGAGTCAGGGCAGGATGCGGTTTGCTCCGCGCCTCGCCGGCTCTCGCCATGCCCACAGCGCCTGGAGGCGGCGTCCTCAGCCCACGCTTCGGCTACGGGATCACGTCTTACGGCTCCTCTTTGGTGTAGCGGCCCTGGGCTGCCGCTGCCCCCCGCCCCCGGACAGCGCTGCGCGGGCCCGGCCACGCGCCAGGAGGCGGCAGCGGCAGGAGCGGATCCGCCTCGTGCGCGCGCAAACGCCAGCTCATCTCTCACTCCTTCTACCCCCCCCACCCCCACCCGCGCCCCCGCCGTGCGCGCGCCGCCCGCCAGCGGCCTGTGGGTGAGAAGCGGCTCAAGGGCACGCGGCTGGTCCCCAGGTCGCTGCACGTGCAGCGGTGCCGAGCGCCCTCGGCACAGCCATCCTTCCCCGCCCGCAGGTGGGGGGAGCGCCTGCGTGTTAGCCGGGTGCAGCGGGCTCTAAAGGAGAGACACCCCGCCCGTAGCCAGGCGCTGGGGGGCCCTTCAGGCGGGGCTCACTGCTCCGGCCTCTAGGCCAGAAAAAAGGGGCGCCGGGGGGGGGGCAGTATTTTCTCTTCCATGCCGTTCCACACACACACACCCCCATCCTGGGAGGGAGACACTGCAATGCCATGAGAAAAGCGACCCGTCACCTCCATGATCCATCCTCGCAGACAGCAAGGGGGAGGGAATTTGGCAAAGAAACTGCACCCTTCCCGAAGGGCTCAGTGTTAACCGGGCCTTGTGCAACGGGTGGGTCTGTTGCCTGCATCCCATTGCTCTTTAAATAGCAGCAGCGCTATACTGCAAAGGAGAGGCGACCGCCCCCCCTCCCCAAAGTGGGATCCCATCCTGCTGCCATCCCATCAAGCGGGCCCTGCGGCTACAAAGGAGCAGGGGTGGGACAGTGCAGCAATGCACAAGGCAAAGGAGAGCCTGACCCTCAAAAGCTGGGGGTTGAGGGGGCTGTACCCCGCCTAGAGGCCCACAAACCAGGCCCGATAAAAGAGAAAAGGGGGGATTCGTCCCTTCCGTTAAAGCCCCCCCCCCACGAGCAGGGGCCAGCGCAGCCGTACAGTGCGATACCCACCTGTGTGGGGATGGCTCAGCCGGGCTGGGACAGGTGGCGCAGGAGGGAGCCGGAGCAGCAGCAGCCTGTGTCGTGCGGAGCTAAGACAATATCAGCCCCGGCCGCAAGGGAAGAAAGAGGCGGACCCTGCCCAGCTGCTCGGCGTCGTCTCCTCCGGTTACGGTATTGTGATTGGAAACCCGAGCGCTGCCCGCCCCCCAGCCTCACTCAATCCCCTTCAAGGACACAGGCGCATGGCTGCAGCCTCGCCCCACGTCCCGACCCCAAATGGGCCAGCCACTACTTGAGTCACTTTCAGGAAGGGGAAAGGAGGACTTCTGGCACCTTAGGGACTAACATATTTATTTGAGCAGAAGCTTTCGTGAGCTACAGCTCACTTCATCGGATGCATGAAACCTTTCAGGAAGGGGGTTTGGTCGGCGCCTGCAAGGTTGCACAGTGCGGCTCTCTCAAGCCAAAACTTTTCAGCTGCAGAGCGGACCTCTAACCCCTCTGCTGCATGAATGAGTCTTTATAAACCCAGTCCCTACCGCACACCTATTAGAGCGCATCCACAAAACCAATTTGTGTGACCTCCAACGTCAAACCCGCCCTTCCTTCCCCCCTCCTCCTGCAGTCTCTCCTTCATTCAGGCTTAACCTTCAACTAGCTTTTTAAAAAGCCTCTTTCTCTTGTGACAAGTAACTTCACAGGGTAGCAAGGAACTGCAACAGCAACAGGGCTTGCCTACAAAATCCAGCTACTAACAGGGTCCCTACCCCTACACTATCCATGCCTTAAGCACTAATGAATGGATCATCAGGACACGACTGCCCCAGAGGGAAGTATTACCATCCCCATTTTACTGATGGTGAAAGGAGACACAGATTGATTAAGTGATTTGCTCAAGGTCACCCAGAATGGTTGTGGCAGAGGCAGAAACTAGCTCTAAATCCCAGGCCAATGCCTCAATCAGTATCTATTAGTATTTTTATTCCTGTAGTGCCTAGGGGATTCCAGCTGAAATGTGGACCCTGTTATACTAGGCACTGTACAACCATTAAGAGACAGTGCCTGCCCTATCCAGGTATGTTTGATGGCCCCCTTCACATAGTTTCTGATTGCCTCAAAAGTATTATTGAATTTCTCCTCCCAGCATGCTGGTGAAGTGAAGTATTATCCCTATTTTCAGAGGGAGATCTTAGATTACGTGACTTGCCTAAATTCACACAGGATGGCTTTGGCAGAGTAAGGAATTTAACTACTGCAGTGCCTAAACTCTAAGCCCTGGTCTACACTAGGACTTTAGGTCGAATTTAGCAGCATTAAATCGATGTAAACCTGCACCCGTCCACACGATGAAGCCCTTTATTTCGACTTAAAGGGCTCTTAAAATCGATTTCCTTACTCCACCCCTGACAAGTGGATTAGCGCTTAAATCGGCCTTGCCGGCTCGAATTTGGGGTACTGTGGACACAATTTGACGGTACTGGCCTCCGGGAGCTATCCCAGAGTGCTCCATTGTGACCGCTCTGGACAGCACTGTCAACTCAGATGCACTGGCCAGGTAGACAGGAAAAGAACCGCAAACTTTTGAATTTCATTTCCTGTTTGGCCAGCGTGGCAAGCTGCAGGTGACCATGCAGAGCTCATCAGCACAGGTGACCATGATGGAGTCCCAGAATCGCAAAAGAGCTCCAGCATGGACCGAACGGGAGGTACGGGATCTGATCACTGTTTGGGGAGAGGAATCCGTGCTATCAGAACTCCGTTCCAGTTTTCGAAATGCCAAAACCTTTGTCAAAATCTCCCAGGGCATGAAGGACAGAGGCCATAACAGGGACCCGAAGCAGTGCCGCGTGAAACTGAAGGAGCTGAGGCAAGCCTACCAGAAAACCAGAGAGGCGAACGGCCGCTCCGGGTCAGAGCCCCAAACATGCTGCTTCTATGATGAGCTGCATGCCATTTTAGGGGGTTCAGCCACCACTACCCCAGCCGTGTTGTTTGACTCCTTCAATGGAGATGGAGGCAATACGGAAGCAGGTTTTGGGGACGAAGAAGATGATGATGATGATGAGGTTGTAGATAGCTCACAGCAAGCAAGCGGAGAAACCGGTTTTCCCGACAGCCAGGAACTGTTTCTCACCCTGGACCTGGAGCCAGTACCCCCCCGAACCCACCCAAGGCTGCCTCCTGGACACAGCAGGCGGAGAAGGGACATCTGGTGAGTGTACCTTTTAAAATACTATACATGGTTTAAAAGCAAGCATGTGAAAGGATTACTTTGCCCTGGCATTCGCAGTTCTCCTGGATGTACTCCCAAAGCCTTTGCAAAAGGTTTCTGGGGAGGGCAGCCTTATTGCGTCCTTCATGGTAGGACACTTTACCACTCCAGGCCAGTAACACGTACTCGGGAATCATTGTAGAACAAAGCATTGCAGTGTATGTTTGCTGGCATTCAAACAACATCCGTTTTTTATCTCTCTGTGTTATCCTCAGGAGAGTGAGATATAATTCATGGTCACCTGGTTGAAATAGAGTGCTTTTCTTCAGGGGACACTCAGAGGAGCCCATTCCTGCTGGGCTGTTTGCCTGTGGCTAAACAGAAATGTTCCCCGCTGTTAGCCACAGGGAGGGGGGAAGGTTGAGGGGGTAGCCACGCAGTGGGGGGGAGGCAAAATGCGACCTTGTAACGAAAGCACATGTGCTATGTATGTAATGTTAACAGCAAGGTTTACCCTGAAAGCGTGTAGCCACTGTTTTATAAAATGTGTCTTTTTAAATACCGCTGTCCCTTTTTTTTCTCCACCAGCTGCATGTGTTTCAGTGATCACAGGATCTTCTCCTTCCCAGAGGCTAGTGAAGCTTAGAAAGAAAAAAAAACGCACTCGCGATGAAATGTTCTCCGAGCTCATGCTGTCCTCCCACACTGACAGAGCACAGACGAATGCATGGAGGCAAATAATGTCAGAGTGCAGGAAAGCACAAAATGACCGGGAGGAGAGGTGGCGGGCTGAAGAGAGTAAGTGGCGGGCTGAAGACAGGGCTGACGCTCAAATGTGGCGGCAGCGTGATGAGAGGAGGCAGGATTCAATGCTGAGGCTGCTGGAGGACCAAACCAGTATGCTCCAGTGTATGGTTGAGCTCCAGCAAAGGCAGCTGGAGCACAGACTGCCACTGCAGCCCCTCTGTAACCAACCGCCCTCCTCCCCAAGTTCCATAGCCTCCACACCCAGACGCCCAAGAACGCGTGGGGGGGCCTCCGGCCAACCAGCCACTCCACCACAGAGGATTGCCCAAAAAAAGAAGGCTGTCATTCAATAAATTTTAAAGTTGTAAACTTTTAAAGTGCTGTGCTTAAAGTGCTGTGTGGCATTTTCCTTCCCTCCTCCACCACCCCTCCTGGGCTACCTTGGTAGTCATCCCCCTATTTGTGTGATGAATGAATAAAGAATGCATGAATGTGAAGCAACAATGACTTTATTGCCTCTGCAAGCGGTGATTGAAGGGAGGAGGGGCGGGTGGTTAGCTTACAGGGAAGTAGAGTGAACCAAGGGGCGGGGGGTTTCATCAAGGAGAAACAAACAGAACTTTCACACCGTAGCCTGGCCAGTCATGAAACTGGTTTTCAAAGCTTCTCTGATGCGTACCGCGCCCTCCTGTGCTCTTCTAACCGCCCTGGTGTCTGGCTGCGCGTAACCAGCAGCCAGGCGATTTGCCTCAACCTCCCACCCCGCCATAAACGTCTCCCCCTTACTCTCACAGATATTGTGGAGCACACAGCAAGCAGTAATAACAGTGGGAATATTGGTTTCGCTGAGGTCTAAGCGAGTCAGTAAACTGCGCCAGCACGCCTTTAAACGTCCAAATGCACATTCTACCACCATTCTGCACTTACTCAGCCTGTAGTTGAACAGCTCCTGACTACTGTCCAGGCTGCCTGTGTACGGCTTCATGAGCCATGGCATTAAGGGGTAGGCTGGGTCCCCAAGGATACATATAGGCATTTCAACATCCCCAACAGTTATTTTCTGGTCTGGGAATAAAGTCCCTTCCTGCAGCTTTTGAAACAGACCAGAGTTCCTGAAGATGCGAGCGTCATGTACCTTTCCCGGCCATCCCACGTTGATGTTGGTGAAACGTCCCTTGTGATCCACCAGAGCTTGCAGCACTATCGAAAAGTACCGCTTGCGGTTTATGTACTCGGCGGCTTGGTGCTCCGGTGCCAAGATAGGGATATGGGTTCCGTCTATGGCCCCACCACAGTTAGGGAATCCCATTGCAGCAAAGCCATCCACTATGACCTGCACATTTCCCAGGGTCACTACCCTTGATATCAGCAGATCTTTGATTGCGTGGGCTACTTGCATCACAACAGCCCCAACAGTAGATTTGCCCACTCCAAATTGATTCCCAACTGACCGGTAGCTGTCTGGCGTTGCAAGCTTCCACAGGGCTATTGCCACTCACTTCTCAACTGTGAGGGCTGCTCTCATCTTAGTATTCATGTGCCTCAGGGCAGGGGAAAGCAAGTCACAAAGTTCCATGAAAGTGCCCTTACGCATGCGAAAGTTTCGCAGCCACTGGGAATCGTCCCAGACCTGCAACACTATGCGGTCCCACCAGTCTGTGCTTGTTTCCCGAGCCCAGAATCGGCGTTCCACAGCATGAACCTGCCCCATTAGCACCATGATGCATGCATTGGCAGGGCCTATGCTTTCAGAGAAATCTGTGTCCATGTCCTGATCACTCACGTGACCGCACTGATGTCGCCTCCTCGCCCGGTATCGCTTTGCCCGGTTCTGGTGCTGCATATACTGCTGGATAATGCGTGTGGTGTTTAATGTGCTCCTAATTGCCAAAGTGAGCTGAGCGGCCTCCATGCTTGCCTTGGTATGGCGTCCGCACAGAAAAAAGGCGCGGAACGATTGTCTGCCGTTGCTCTGACGGAGGGAGGGGCGACTGACGACACGGCTTACAGGGTTGGCTTCAGGGAGCTAAAATCAACAAAGGGGGTGTCTTTACATCAAGGAGTATTTCGCAGGACTTCACGGAGGGTTCCAATAAGAAATGGTGCACCTAAGTTATTGTTCTTATTGGAACGAGGAGGTTAGCCTGGCCTCTGATTGATACATGGCTAGATTTACCTCGCTGCACCTTCTCTGTGAGTGACTGCAGTGTGACCTAGAGGAATGAGTCCCCTAGACAGGGGAGGAGGCAAATGAGTACAAAACAAATCTGGTCTATTTCTTGTTTTGATCCACTCCATCTATCTTTTACATCTTTGGCTGGCAGCAGATGGTGCAGAAGGACTGCATGCCATCCACATCTCATGGCTGCTCGGCAGAACATGGTACAGTACGACTGCTAGCCATCCTCATCTCTTGCCTGCCTGGCAGAAGATGGTACAATACGACTGCTAGCAATCCTCATCTCTTGCCTTTCCGGCAGAAGATGGTACCGTACGACTGCGAGCAATCCGTATCGCCTGCCTGCTCACCATAAGACGGTTCAATAGGACTGACTGCAGGACTAAAGAGAATGACCTGGTCAAGTCACTCCAAATTTAGTCCCTGCGCCCATGTCTGCCCAGGCGCTCCCAGCCGACGTGGCCAGGAGCACCTCGGACACGATGAGGACGGCTACCAGTCGTATTGCATCGTCTGCTGCCAGAAGGCAATGGGTTGCTGCTACTGTGTAGCAAAGCCGTACCGTGTCTGCCAGCACCCAGGAGACATAGGGTGACGGTGAGCTGAGCGGGCTCCATGCTTGCCGTGGTATGGCGTCTGCACAGGTAACTCAGGAAAAAAGGAGCAAAACGATTGTCTGCCCTTGCTTTCACGGAGGGAGGGAGGGAACGGGGGCCTGACGATATGTACCCAGAACCACCTGCGACAATGTTTTAGCCCCATCAGGCATTGGGATCTCAACCCAGAATTCCAATGGGCAGCGGAGACTGCGGGAACTGTGGGATAGCTATCCACAGTGCAATGCTCCGGAAGTCGACTCTAGCCTTGGTACTGTGGAAGCACTACGCCGAGTTAATGCACTTAATGCACTTAGAGCATTTTCTGTGGGGACACACACACTCGTATATATAAAACCGATTTCTAAAAAACCGACTTCTATAAATTTGACCTTATTCCATAGTGTAGACATACCCTAAGACTATCCCCTGGGTCTCCTATTGCTTTTCCTGCTACAATAGGTTAGCCTGTCCACACCACAACTCTGTTTCTGACAAATGTTACAGCATGTCCCAGCCCAGTTTACAACTGTGGCCTGGCCATTATATCAGAGGAATGTGTTAATTTGTGTTTTGTGCTGTCCAACTTGCTATATAAGCTTCTTGGGCAGGGAATCTGGTCATCCTCTATGTCTTGTAAAGAATTAAGCACATCAGCAGCTCTCATTGAATAATAAAAAAGTAAATCACTGTAGTAATATGAGATGCCTTGCCACTGGGTTACATTTTTGTTCCCACATAGGAACAAATGCAGTTGTATTTTTCATGCTAATAGATACCTGTTTTTACCACTACTGGTCAAAAGAGGACAGGAAATGTTGCACTGAAAACTCAGCAATATCACTATATTGGAACCAGAAGGGTCCAATAGATACAAACGTTTGCATTCTTCTCCAAACACTATTTTCTCTCATGTTCTTTACTTGTGGAGTAGCTTCTCCTTTCTATGCTTTGAGAGGCGGAAGGGAGGGGAGGGCACAGCACTTAATAACATACATTGCCTGTGCCTAGAGGAGATGAGACCTTGGATTCCTATTCAGGCATAACTGCTTGTGAGTGAGTAATGAGCACGGGCTTTCAGACTTCTCCTCCTATTAAATAAGACACCAGAGTAAAAGTAGATGAATTTATTCCTCTGTGTAAATATGTTGCTTGGCACAGCAAATGATTCCACTGAGCAAAGGAAAAACATTGTGCCTTTCCAGGTGATATATGTGGTGGTTTAGATGAAAAAATAATCAGACCATTCAGTATTCAGTTCCTGAACTGCTGCTTCTGGCTTTCTGAAATAAAGCTATGAATGAGTTACATCAAACAAACAAACAAAAAAAAAATAGTGGGAAAGGCAGTGAAATTCCAGACAAAGAAAATGATATTTTAGATAAGCACAAGTGAGAAATGGATAATTGAACTTTAAGGAAGTAGGATATAAGAGGAACAGGAGGGAGGAGAGATCAGACCAAGATGGCTCTGGATCAAAACCAGTTTGCTGGTGCACATCAAGTCTCTGTATTTCTACTGTCACCCTATGAATATTCACCACTAGATTGTAAATTCTTTGGACCAGGGTCTCTTCTTATTCTAAGCACAGCACTGGCAGTCAATAAAACAGTAGTAATGAAACAGAAGAAAAATATGCCACATGCCAGTCAATCATTAGCAAGACCTTAATGGTTTTGGAGGTGACAAAGATTTATTATAGATATTTATTATAATGGTACTTAAAGGTTCCAAAAGAGATTAGATGCTCTATTGTGCTCAGCACTGTACATACACATAGAATAGACAGTCCATGCCCTGAAGAACTTATAACTAAATAGACAAAAATAGAGTCAGAGAAATTTTTTACTAATGGAGAACTGAGGTACAGAGAGATCAAATGTGACTTGCCCAAGGTCAAGTACGGAGTCTATGACTGATCATAGTTTCAAAGTCCAGATCTGGGTTTGGCAGTCTGTTCATTTTTGATGGAGTACCGTTTTTAAGAAAAACACTCCAAGGTTCAGGGGACACAATTCAAATAAATTTGACTGCTAGCCTTCAGACAATTAGAACATTTGCAGGGTGGGGGAAGTATGTGAAATACTTGATATTGCCTCTACATCAGCTTAATGTTTATTTTGTATATAAAGCCCTTAGTAACTAGGCCTGAGATACTTTAATAACTGTATTTTCCCCTTGACATTCTAAGGCAACTGAAGGCAAATTGCATTTTATTGCTCTTTTCCTCACCTGAGGCTACATTTAAATCTGGTGGGAGGGAACTCTCCTCCTGATTTCAGCAACCTTGGCTATGGAACTCCTTCCCTCAGCATATTAGCCAGAATCCCTCTGTCCTGAAGGCTTGTTTCAAGATCTCTTAGGGTGTTTTTGTTCTACACATTATATTTTGAATTTTGTGTGTTAAAAATTGTCAATCAGGGGCATAGCCACGGGCAGGCCTGGGTGGGCTGTGGCCCACCCACTTAACATCCTGATTCCAAGCCCACCCAAATCTGAGCAGGTGTGAAGGGCTGCCACAGCAGCCTGGAGCGTCACTCAGGCACCCGAAATCCAGAATGGAGCTATGCACCCACCCTTCAGAAAGCTATGATCCAGCAGCTCTGCCTTGCCATTTTCTGAGCTGTCCCATGCACGTGCCCAGCTCGGCAGTTGAAGCCCTGTGTCTGGGGGC